TCCCACTATCTTGAAAATGGACACCGGAGACCATTATTCTAACCAGTTTAAAAATATACTAAAGGCTATAAAAGAAAAACTCAGAGGAAAGATCCGGAAAGGCACGACAAAGCGCCAGCACACAGTTCAAGAAAAGCTGCAGAAACTGCGCGAGAAAGTGGCTAGGAAATTTTGCCACGTTCGCCTTATTTTCCAGATTTAGCCCCGCCCGACTTTCTAAAAATTCCCCAAACTGAAAAGGGATTTAAAATGAGAGCATTGTGAAAGTGATGATATGGTCAAAGAAGCGGTAGAGGCTGGTTTTCTGACAAAGAGAGGGTCTTCTATTCTCAAGGTCTTTTCAGGGTCATTAAACTGATGGCAAAAAATGTATAATTGTGGGAGCGACTACATAGAAAAAGATTAAGGTTATTACCAAATTTCAGTCTTCTACCTTTATTCCTTCATGGTTAGGTAAAAAAAAAAAACTTTTGGCATGCCCCTCGTATGAACAAAACAAAACACTGACACTATCTGGACAAAAAAAATCTGGAAAAAAAAATACTGAGACAATAATTCTCCTAACAAAACCATATTGGCTGTATCTGGGCAATAAAACATGTATTGACATTATGTGGTTCCCAGACGAATGAAATACTTCAAAACCAACATGGAGTTCCGCGTGAGTGCCACCTACAGCACCACCAACTACATCATGGCCACAGCCATCACACAGCTGGTCGCTGGGGGCACCACCTGGGAGCAGCTGGTCAGGGAAAAGATCTTCAAGCCCCTGGGCATGACATCAAACTTCGCGGCCTCTGTGGACTTCGACAATGATGACGTGGCGTTCCCGACGGTGACGGACAATGGGCCTACCAAAGAATTGAGTCCCGAATTTGCCAAGTGAGTCTTTTGCCTGTGAGAGAAGAATTGAGTCCCGTCTTTATCAAACGAATCGTTTACTTTATAGAAAATTAAGTCTTTACTTTACCAAATGAATCGTTTACCTGTTAGAAAATTGAGTCATATCTTTACGAAACGAATCGTTTACCTGTGACAGACTTGACTTCTATCTTTACCAAACCAATCATTTATCTGTAATGAAAATCCGTTAGGATGGTTGGCGGGTGCTCTGGTGTGGTTTGCTCCTTCTTTCCTACTAAACGTCTATCGCTCTGATCTCTCCTCCCTTTTTGTGTTTGTGACTCTGTTGCAACCCTCCTAATCTTCAGCTCTACTAAACGGATTGTATCGCAAGTAAAGTAAAACTCTTACTAAAAAACAAAGAAAATCAAATCTTTCCAAGTAGGACACATAATAATAACGAGAGAGTGTCTTTACCATGCCAGTCGTTTACTCAGGTATGTGCTTGGTCCTTTATGCGTTTCTGGCATGATTATGTTATGAGAAGCAAAAAATGTCGATCGATCTATCTATCTATCTATCTATCTATCTATCTATCTATCTATCTATCTATCTATC